TGATGTTTTTGTATTATCTGATAAAGCATACATTTTACTGTTTTTACCAGAATGTTAGTATGGTACAGTCTTATTCATTGATCATGAATTGTTGTCTAAAATGTGCACCAAATTCTCATCAAATTAATACTGAAATAATAGAGGCTCGTCGATTTCTATTGACGACGTTTGTGTTGATGCTGTTAAACTTGTTTTTGCATATGTTGATCCTATCGACTTGGCATACGTTGAGATTTGTGATTGCGATGGGGCCATGATTTTATTGAGCGGCGGTGGTAAGAGTGCGGCTCCAGATTCCCAATCGAACGCATCAATCCAACGCACATCCGATTCTAGCATTGTCTGAAAATGTAAAGTAATCAAGCTCTTCTTCAATCATTTCACTCAGTTTCATAACTCCCCTTATCGTTCTTTTCATCAAGTATCACGAAGATGCTGAAAGTTTTTCTTCAGAAGGCGGGTGCATATTTTTCAGAGAAGGTAAACAACATCTCAAGATGCTAACTAAATAACGTAATCATCTGCTAAACCTAGAATGATGAAGATATCGTCTCGTTGACTAGAATTTATCGCACTCTCTCAACAACCCTCATAACAATCAACGTCACTGATGTTCATTAGTGTCGAACAAAACAACGACGAGTGCCTTTTAAGTAGCAAGAATGCAATAAAATCACCGACCGACTACTTTGAGGAAAAAACCGAGTCATGTATAAGTACTCGAAATGAAGCATAGAGCACCCAAACTGATTCAGAGTGAGCACTTGTTTGTGCCTTACAGAGTTTCATCAAAATGTGAGCAGTGCAGATTGATTGAGAGTTTTGTGGCGAATGAAACGAAAACGGAGGACTGAATGGATATCCAATAATGCATGTATTATAAAAGAGAACGTAAACCTTTTCAAACATGAACTTGATTTGGTCATACGGTGGTTCAGATTCAAATTCTAACGCATCGATCATTGCAAATATTTGATCAAGAATTTGTGGACAATTCTTGAAGAAAAGTGTTCGTTTTGTACCAATTCGAATCATTTTCTTCATTTGTAATGTACGCTCTTTGCTGTGTCTCCGTGCCGCTTGCTTCCCTATATCATTCGAAGGCTATTGGCAAAAAATTGTTGAAAATTATCGGAAACTAAATGAAAATGATATTGCATGAAATCGTCATTGTAGAATCTCATGTGCGAAAGTGGATTGAAGTTGGCCTTCTGGTTTAATGATTCGAATTGGAACTCCTTGATCAGTTGCGATCACAGTTCGATGAAAGAGATCATCACATGAATGAACGATACAAAGCGCTTTCATGAAATTCCACTTATGCCAATTAATCAATCCTAATTTTGCTCATTTGAGAGCCATTATAAGTAATTGTGATAGAATTTCTCGAAAACAGGAAATATTTCAACCCTGCGAATGGTTTCACATACGACCTATCCGATTGCAACATTATTGGGAACAAACTTTCGAAAAATGATTCGCTTTACCTTTGCCGGATTTCCACGGCAGACGTCCCGTACTAAATTCAACGTTAACGTATAACCAAGATTCCAAGTCATCGCTTCTACCTTAAATTTTAATGCTTCATAGCAATTTTATGCGAGGCAGCATCTTAGACTGAATAAACTGGACAGAGTTATTAATTTGCCGTCGACGAATACACTGTTAGCTTACTGTACGGTTGGCTTCCGTAGTGAACACAGCTATTTTCGATGCACAAAACTGACACAAATTCCAATTAACCGCGAATTTTCACTTAGAATATTGCGCGACGAAGCAGCAACTTCCAGTGTATGCACTAACCAAGTTCCTTCTTTTGATGAGCTCTTATCGACGCATATCGTGTTGTGCCCTTAAATCCGGCATTTGCTGACGGCGGAATTATGCTACCATCCTTAAAGTGGTTAGTTTGAACTTGTCGATCAAAACAGTCACATATGGTGAAAAATGGTAGATCGATCATCGCATGTTTAAAATCCGCATAGTTTAGTAAAATTAAAAGCTACCAAATGATTTTATCAGAATGTTCCGATCAAAATTCAGTCAACTTACTGTATTTCAGTCAACCAAAAATTTATAATTTTAAACTCATATCCATTCAGATTAATCTGGAGAAGAATCAGTGACTTCAAAAAACTAGCCTTGTTCTTATAAACTCGAGATAGTCCAAAGTCGAACAGAAAAATATTTCTTCTTTCATCGCCTCTTCCTATTGCAAAATTACTTGGTTTAATGTCTCTGAAATCGAAAACTCTCGTCTTTTGGTGAGACACAACGTAAATCAAGATATATCAAGTCCAATCATGCATGACATATTTTTGGGAGCAAATAAGAAATTCATGTATTATCAATAAACACTCGCCTAGCCTCTTGTTTATGATTTTGATCAAGAGTAAGTATAGGGCATAAAACTTTTTAATAAGGGATCAAAAATGCATTTATCGAATTCTCGAATAAACAAATGAATAATGCATGAATAAATTTATGTCACTTGTGGCTTTCTATGAAACAATGGAAATTCTAACCTTGAAACAATAGATATTTCATGTAATTCTTTGATAGCCGAAAGTGTCATAATGCCGNATTCTCGAATAAACAAATGAATGATGCATGAATAAATTTCTGTCACTTCTGGCTTTCTATGAAACAATGGAAATTCTAACCTTGAAACAATAGATATTTCATGTAATTCTTTGATAGCCGAAAGTGTCATAATGCCGAGACGTAACGCTGTTCCCAACGAAAATGTTTTCGTTGGACAATCTTTTCGTAACTTCGAAAGATCTTTCCCTAACAGTGACATCACCACAAACATGTACGTATCATGAATGCCCTTAAAGTTCCCCTCTTAACTGCAATATGACCGAATTGACGAAAACAATTTTGATAATTAAAAAATTTCAGCGACAAACACGAGTACAACCTGAATATGGTCATCAATAGTGCATCTAATTTACCATTCAAAACAATCGCTGACTGAAAACATAATCAACTATGGTAATGGTTTATTCAGGATATCGTAGTGAACATACGGTGTCTCCAGATTCTCCAGGCAAATTTATCAGTTTTTATGTGCTCGTCAAAGCACGCGACGATTTGTTTAGGTCGCACTGAATCGTAATTATGTTTTTCATATATTCGACAGCCCGAAATTTTAATGTTTCATTCACAGATGACCTCTTTAAAATTTCAGTAGAAATTTTAAAAATAAAAGATATGAAAAATCGAATTCGAATATTCACATCATCGATATATCTACATATATGTTTGCAGTTATGACGACTGGCTTTCTTCAAGACCTCGACCTCAGTTGTCATATGGGTTCGACGAATATTTTCCCGTTTCAATGCATATGTCCTGAAGTCAACCACAAAAAAATTCGTTGTAAAACAAACGCAAAATAAATGCTCGTTCTATTTTCATCATTCAATAGAATGCACGGAAATGAATATAGGAACTCAGACCATTAAAAACTCGCATGATCATAGTGAAGCCGATTATGTATCGTTCGCTGCGGAATGTCATGAACAGCTGAATTTACGCTTATAAACACACGATTACAATTTGATTTCAATCTTTAGCGATAGCCATCTAACGGATATTCGTTAACGTATCTTCTCTTGTCAAGTGTGTTTATCTCGAAAGAATCACTTCAAAGCATTGTCAAACGGATAAGTTTCTAACTTGTTGTCTCCAGTTCGACACTCGTACACTTCGCCATATCCTCCACGACCCAGAAATCTTTCCAAGTGATATGCAACCGTATTTTTTCCGTACAAAATTTCGTCAATTTCTGTACTTGTATCATTCTTTAAGTCTGTATCTCTTCTGAAATATCCGATTCGTATCTCGTGATAGTACGCTAATTCGATAAGTGGGATGCATAATGAATACGCCCTCAAAATATTGTTCATTCTCCGCGACATCACCGATGCATCATCCTCATCAAATCACTGAAAAATATTCACTGAGATGCGCCAACACCGAAATGATTGCAGATTAACTAAATATGGCTTGATGGTGTTCGATGAGCTATGAATTCTGAACGATAATGGCATCATGTGCAGACTAATGTCCTAGAGAAATTTCTCCTTCCTAGTCGATGATTCCAAGGAATAAATCCCAACAAAAAAAACAAGTTTGATGATCGCTAAAATGATTTCAACTGTCATTTTCGATTAAAGAAAATGATTATGCCGACTGGCATGCTTCACCGTCATATTTTATGACAGCGAACA